ATTCAAGACACAGAGTATACAAGTAATTCATTTTTATCAAATATTTTTAATAACAAATCAAAACATATATAAATATATTGGAAAAGTACATGAAACATACAAAAAGATAGCACCAGTGCTCTAAAAACAACAAAATTGACTAAACAAATGCCATAAAAATAAGGGCCAAGAGAACACACGACTCCTGACCATATACAATGAAAACCCAACCCCTCACTAAGAAAAGCCTACTCTGAAACACCAGACTCTGAACCCCATAAAAAGCAAACTGAATGAAGGTAAACATGACCACCTGAAAAGACAAAGGAGGGCAATTGGTCACACAACACACCTCTAAAAGGGAAGGCACCAAAGTGAGTCTCTCTTCTAGTAAAGCAAAGAAACATTAGATATCGAAGCATGGGCACAAACCCATCTCCAAGTCAGGCCAATAATCAAAGACATCGGGTGATTTACCTCTCTTTTTCCATGATAAAAAAAAAATTTTACTACGCAACTTCCAAATCATCCAACGAGATTCAGCCAGATCGAAACCAAACTTAGAAGAAACTTCTTTCCTTGAGCAAAACCTTAAAGAAAACCAAACCCCTCTACAATCGAGCATGAAAGTAGTGTAGGTATACTCATTCACCTAATCACCTTATACTAGAACAGGGAGGCTACCTCATATGTAACAAAAAATTGTATACATACTCCACCTGATATAAATACACTACACACCCCACCCACTATCGAAAGAGAGAATTTGATGTCTAACAAGATTTTGCCTAGTCGACAATCTATCCTGAAACAGCTACTAAGAAAAGACCATTATATTAGAAGGCGCCCAACTCTACTAACCCCTTAATAACACGTTGATCACTCAGGTCGGCCTACCTTTTACTCCTTCCTTCAAAGAGGAAAGTTTTGCATAAGTCGAGCTTAACAAATACCCTCTCAAGGGGTTTGGGATCTGAGCCTAAACATTTGTTGTCCCTGCTTAACCACCCCAACAATAGCACCAACTAACCCCTCCTGAATCTCTTCCTCCCAAACAAGAAGAGAACGCCTTCACCTAAAGTTCCAGACCCAAACATTTCCATCCCAGGCCCTTATCAAACCCACAGTATGAGTCTTATGTTCTAACATGAGAAACAACCTCTCAAAATAGGCACCCAACGAGAAGCCCCCGCCCAAATATTATGCTAGAACGAGGTTTTCATACCATCTCTGACCTCCTTAATAAAAGAAGCGATCCTGTATAAATGTTGATCGGGTGTCGAACCAAGAAGGGACACCCCTCTCCACCAATAGGAAGCCTTCATATGACCCACGAATCTACTCCCAATGGGGAGCCACTCACTTGAGTACCATATATGGACGAAACAATACCCTACCATAAAGACGACTTAACTTCAAGGACTTTCCACCTTCACTTACTTAACAAAGTACAATTAACAAGCTTAAGATCCTTAACCCCTAAGATGTCAATCTCTTTGGGCTTGCACACATCTTCCCACTTAGCCCAGATTATCTTAGGCCCCCACTTTAGAATCCTTCCAAAGGAACCACCTTTGCATTCCAACTAACTTTTAACAAGCTTTAACTGATAACTTTATAAATGAAATGAAGAAAATAAGTATCGAGTTCAAAACCAAATTCAACAAGATAACTCTCCCTCTAAGACTCACAAAGTTATTCCTCCAAGAGGCCAGTCTAATAGACATAACCTTGATTAATGGGTCCCAAGTCCCTTCTTGCCTAAAGTTAACACCCACAAAAGACCTTAAATACTTTAAAGGAAGACTATCAATTTTACAATGCAAAAATAAACTTTTTTTTAACTAATCGAACACTCTGTTTTTTACACACATATAAAGAATTAAGTAATTTTGTCATAAAATTACATTTTTTATTAAATTAATCTTATTATTATATTATAAATAATGCATAAAATAATAATTAAATAACACATTTAAAAAATAAAAATTATTTACATTGAAAAGTAAAAAATAATATTTATTTTAAAATAAATTATATTTACAATATAACCATTTTAAAAGAAGGAAATATATTATGAATAAATGGAACTCATTTTAAAGAATGTCTCCGACACTTTACAGTTTACACTATGCTAAAACATTCACTGCATCTTGACAAAAAAAACATTCAGTGCAAATTATAGTGCCGGGATTTTTATTTTTTTTAACACGAAGCCTAAGGTGATGGGTAGATCAAGAATAGAACCACATCATTGGTCCGATCGACATGATCAATAACTATACTAGCCGACATTTAAAAAAACAACCGTACGGGCTCAAAAGAGCAACGTAAGCAATGACAGAATCACCAAAACGCTCAACAGTCACACGTGCATACCACCACTCAAACACTGCCACGTAGTGGCTGCGGTCAGCTGATAATATCACGAACATTATTTATATGTTGAAAATCATATAGATACGACCTCCAACTTGGCACACGCACGTGTCTAAATCCATTCACCACTCTCTTTCACGCTGCTATAAAATAAAACCAATACATTGACTCTGTCTCATCGCAACATTCATTTCACAAAACATAGCATACACAACAACAAGAAGAACCAGAATCATTAACAAGAACCAGAATCATCGTCAACAACACAGTCAACGTTTAAAGAAACGCGAATGCAAGGTGAAATAGAATTACCGCCTGGCTTCAGATTTCATCCAACCGATGAAGAATTGGTGAATCATTACTTGTGTAGAAAATGTGCTGGTCAATCAATTTCTGTTCCCGTTGTTAAAGAAGTTGATTTGTATAAGTTTGATCCATGGCAGCTTCCTGGTACTTCATTTTTCCTAATTTCACTCATCACTTTTGTTGTTACTTTTCTTTCTAATTGCATATGAATAATTTTTCTTCTTCTTATGTATGCAGAAATGGGTTATCACAGTGAGAAAGAATGGTACTTCTTCTCTCCGAGGGACCGGAAATACCCGAACGGTTCCCGGCCTAACCGGGCTGCCGGAAGTGGTTACTGGAAGGCTACCGGAGCTGATAAACCAATAGGGAAAGTGAAGCCAATGGGGATAAAAAAGGCACTGGTTTTCTATGCCGGTAAAGCCCCCAAAGGAGTGAAAACTAATTGGATTATGCATGAGTATCGTCTTGCCAACGTTGATAGGTCCGCCGGCAAGAAAAATAACTTGAGGGTATGTCTGGTGTCTGTGATTATGTTCTTCAATTACTTTAATTTTTAAAATTATTATTGATGGTGTCAATGTGTTTGTGAAAATGCTTGAGAGAAAAATTTATCTGATTTTAGTTTGGTTTTTGATTTGCAGCTTGATGATTGGGTGTTGTGTAGAATTTACAACAAGAAAGGAAAGATTGAGAAATTCAACACTGGCAACACATTAGAGGTTGCTCATAATTACTATGAGCATGAAGAAGAAGAACATGAGAGAAAGCCAGAAATTCAGAAGTTGGTGAATTACCAATTGTACATGGACACATCGGATTCGGTTCCAAAGCTGCACACGGACTCGAGCAGCTCCGGGCACGTGGTTTCGCCGGATGTCATGTGCGACAGGGAGGTGCAGAGTGAACCAAAATGGAATGAACTTGGGATACAGCTGGATGACGCGTTTGGTTTTGAGTTCAATTACTTGGATAATAATACCCTTTCATTTGAGTATGATGATGACCCTTTTGGGGCCAATGATCAGTACCAAATCAACCAGCTTTCGCCGTTACAGGATATGTTCATGTACCAACAAAAGCCATTTTGATTCTGTCTTGACAGAGAATGATTCTTTTTAGTAATGGGGGGTTGCCTAATTAATTTATTTTTTGTAGCTAAAGTCATCATTAATTAATGCAATTACACCTAATTAACTACTGTAAGTGGACCACTCTGGATAATTATTCTTATTCTCTGCTCTAGAGAGATCAGAGAATTGTGATTTTGGTTGACATGGATCATTTGGATTGGATTAGATTAGACCTAGTTTGTGCACAAAATGGAAAAGCTGTAAAAGAAGATAGGATCTTCAGGGTGTAATTAAAAAAAAAAAAGCAGTAGGGTTATCTTATCTCTAGTAGGTGTAGATCCAAATCTAATGGTCCATGCATTGGGGTGTCAATGTGTAGGAGCAGGAACTCCTGTAGAAAATTCTTGTATTGTTGCTGGTATGAAAGCATTTTTTCATATATTTTGTAATATACTTTTCAATTCAAAGATGTGGAATGCTGCTTTATATTAGACTATTATACGCTTTAGTTCAAAGAAATTACACTTTAGTATTGGTGTGCACACGGACTTGCATTAAAATACTAAGAAGTCAGAACATATAACAGCTTCCAATGTATTACTAATAATTATAAATTGATGCTGGTCAAAGAATTGCCATGTAGATATAAATTGTTTGTAGTTGATGGTGTTACTGTCTAATTAATGTTTACAACTTGAGGTTCCTATGATATACTAATGAGAATAGTAGGCATTGTTTGTTGAGAAAAAAAAAACAGTATGCTAGTATTTTATGACTGAATTCGGCTGGTCTGAATAAACTGATATTTTAAAAAAAATTGTCTCAGTTTCTGGTACATGATTGTTATATTCGGAACAGCTGAGATATTGCAGCCTAGCAGGTGGTTTTGTAAATTTGTTTTCTTGCAGCTGAGATATTATTCTATGAAATCTATCAATCAATTATAGAATCAACAAAATGCATCTGATATTTGTATCAATTCCTCTTTCCAATTTAAATCCTCAACGCTGTGCAATCAAACTTACCTGGTATGTTGTTATACTACTGATCATTTTCAGTTGTAATCCATTGGAATTACACTTTAAACACTAAAACTCTGTGTGGACCTCTATACAATACCAATATACTATTCACATGGATATCATTATGAGGATATCAACATTCATTTGATACAACCATATATCCTGTTCTACAAGTTGGGCATAAGTTGCTATATGATGATACAAGATATAAAATGAGGGGCCGGCATGGTATCTTTTGTAATCAAATGCTGATATCTCTGGATTTTGGAACCCGGTTACAATCTGTTGGTGCCCAACCAATCAACTGCTTATCATTGTCAAATACCACCACTTTGTCTAGCATGGATATGTCTGCATAAATAAGACAGGGCTTTTTAATAATGCATAGCTTCATCATGAGTTTTGGTGAAAAAGATAAAGCTAAAAAAGTGGACAAAAGCAGTACAATTGATGAAATCGATTAATATTAACAAGAACGAGCATCAAAAGAAAAGAGAGAGAGAATAACATGATTCCTACCTCCGATTAGGTTAAAATCCTCCATTCCTACTTCAGAGCCGTTTAGAATGCCCAAGCAAACATTTCCCATGTTCTGAAAGGACAATTTATCAGCATTCAGAATTCAAAAATATGAAGTATCAGTTACTTGTGAAGTTATAACAATAAAAAAAGTTAATATTGATTCTTGAAGAAATTGATTAGTTGGGGCTTGACTCACTGATATAATCAGGTATGCTTCAGGAGGGATTTCAAATTGGGCTTTTGTTCTCCCACAGCCTGGGAAATTAAACGCAATAGGCTTGAAGTATTTTTTGACGTCATATACACTTCTAAAAGGTCTTTTTCCACACCAACATAGCGGGAGAGTTTGGTCTTCAGGTGCTTCTTGTATAGGCTTTCCAGCTAATTCTTTTGCCAACTACATATGGAAATCAAATGAAAGACCCGTGTTAAACAATGTGTCGGTATTTTCCTATATTGTATGATGTTGTTGACATTGTTCTGGTAATGGCTTATGCACTTTGAAATGAGGATGTAAGGAAAATAGCTTTCAACTAACCCAAGAAACTAGTGCTTGATAAGTGTTGGAGTTGAAGTAAGTGTAAGAACTCCCAGTGTCAAAAACAGCTAAAAGATTTCCAAACCCAGTCTTCTTCCCTCCAAAAACGAGCTCTGCTGGCCCTGCTGAGTAATGTTTGCTGAGAAAAATCACAAATTAACAAAACGAAATATGAATATCATTACATAAATGTGGAGAACATAACACGTGGATCTGACTTGTAACGATCTACTCACTGATCATTTGATGACATTGGAGTCCAAGCCAATCGAGACGAATCATAAACATCTCCAAAGAAGATGTATCCTCCTCCTTGTGCACTCAAACAGTGTCCAACCACATTTCTCACCAATCCCTGACTACTCAACTGTGATATCAAGCTAGATTTTCCCCTGCCAAGGCCAAGCATACCATCTACAGGGTGGTAGGAAGATTCTGGAAAAATCTGATCATATCCACATCTAGAAAAAGCAGCCAAAAAGAATTGTATCAGATAGCAGGATCTTTACCTCTTAATAAAAAGTTGTGTATGGTATAATTATCATGCAACACTTGTGTTTTTCTTAAACACTCCATGCAGAAAAGATAAAATTGGATAGAACATACACATAGAGGCTGTTTTGATTGATTTATTTGAATTTAATTACAGACATAAGTTTAGGACAGTTTATAAAAACAGCTTATGACATGACATGTTGATAAGGTGTTGTCAACTTATTTACATAAACTCTTTCCACGATAGGTTGTGAAAATAACTTCTAGTTTGTATGGAAACATGTTTGCTTTATTTTATCTTTTATTAAAGAAATATCTTATACATAAAAAACACTTATATGATGGCACTTATGCGCTATCCAAACAATAATAAAAACTAAGGAAGTGGTTTGAGTTTAAGGTTGTTTCGCGTTAAAACTAGCAAATGGTGCAAAAGAGTTACTAACCCAAGTCCCATACGAACTTTCAGTTGGACTCCATTTGTAAAGTTGAGAACATAGACATCATTGACAAGTACACCAAGGGATGAGTAAAAATCTGCATACTCAACTTCATAGTCACACTGATGCTGGACTTCACAGTCATAGTTATCTGTCTGATGCACGGACGCACAGAGGGGATGCCTGCAAGGGACTAAGTCATTGCTAGGCCGGTAAAGCGGATGGGGCGTCTGAAAAATAAGCAACAATTTTTGAAGATTAATTATGATAGGAGTTTTTTATCAAATACATTCTACATAAATATATCAATTTAGCTATGTAGCACCGACAATTCAGATTGAAAGTGTATCCCGGAGTCCGTCATTGAAACTTGTTATTATATTTATTTATTTTATCTTCTCAAACTTTATATAAGTGTCCATGTCTGTCTTTGTGTCATTGTTTCATTAGTATTTTGCAATGAGTAAAGCAAGTGAGAGTACCTGAGAGCATCGGGAGCAAGGCGCATCACATTGAAGCCATGTTAGATCGCTACCCGTGTCAATATCAAGAAAATATGGCCTTGGTGGATAACCAATGTTGAGAGTCACATTATAAAACCTGTAAATGTAAAAAAGTAAGAATGAATTATACCAGTCGAACACCTAGTCAATTGATATCTATGACACAAACACCGAATATGACACCACGTCAGAGAATAATTTGAGAAAACAATATAATTGATCGTAACACACGAGTCTATATTGTGTCGGGCATCAAATATGTTTAATAAAAGTCATGTTTGTGTATGAATGAGACAAAGAAAAACATGATTTGGGAATTGGGAAGAAACCTCAAAAAGATGTTTTATTTATTCAAATTCTTTGTTTATTAGTCACTCTTTTCGAGGAATAAAACAACACAACAAAACATGAAGGGGCCTCATAGGAAAAGACACGAAGAAAGCAACTGCGAAGAAAGAAAGGCATAAAGTGAAACAGAGAGAATGTAAAAATAAAAAAAAAGTTCCTTTTACATACCCAACAGGGTAAACATTTCCGTGAACCGGGAACACGACGGATGAGCCAGAACGAAAACGGTTCAAGAACGAAGATGACGACGACGATGATGAGGATTGTTCATGTGCAGTTGAAGTTTTGTGTTTACTACTACCAAACCAAGCTAAACAAGTAGATGAACTCAACAAGAGTAGCACAACAAAGAGTCCCAATTTCCCTGATTTCATCGTTTCTCAATAAAAATATTAATGTGATTGGAGAAAACTGAGTAGTCTATGTTGTGGTGGGTACGTGCGTTATGTGTTTGATGAAATGCATGAGAGAAATAGCAAGGGTTTTTAAATGAAGATGTGTGTCCGTAAAAGCATTGCTTGGATTATTAGAAGTGGGATTTCTTCTCATGCATGCCTTGCGCAGGGTTCTTATTCTTTCCTTCTTCTTATGAACCCTCCTCTCCTACACATAAAAATACTTTAAAAAATTATTGAAGCCAGACTGGTTAGTATACTTGGAGTGTATTTATCTTTTATTTATTATTATTATGTTGAAAAAGTGAAATATATTTTATATCAATAGGCATCAACTTCGTTTAAGTATTTTTAACTGATTTTAAATTATTGTCTTTAAATTAAATCTAATTTAATGGTTAAATTAATTTTTTTATTTAATTAATTATTAGATTTATTTAATTTAAAAACTATGATTTGAAATAAATTAAAAAATCTTATTCTTAGAGTAAATTGATTCCCCTAAATTATAAATTGACATATTCTTTCATCGTGGTATATAAATAAATATATTTTTTAAAACAAAAAGAGCAGTTTGTTTCATACTTTTTTTTAACACATTCGTTTCTTTTTGTTTTGAGAGTTGAGCATGCTTTTAGTTTACAAATTATTTCTATTATGAAATTTAAATAGTATTATGAGATAAGTGTTGAATGTCAAATTTGCTTTAAATTGATCATTATTCATTGGTATTTTTCAACTCTTTTGTTATGTTTTGTTGGATTTACTCCATGATATCATGTTATTCTTCAATATTATTGAAAATACATTTGGTTGCTTTAATTTGTGTGTTATTGTTCAGAAATTAGACATGAAAACATCAAAGTGTAAGACACAAGTAATTGTACAACGAAGCCAAAGGAAAAGAAGAGATTCAGCATGTTCGTTGCGCGAATAGCCAGCGAGGAGTAGCAGCGAATGTTCGTTGGACAAACTCATGGCGAAGCCCTAGCGAACCCTCTCAATTTAAAGGCAGTAAGAAAAGGGCACTAAGTTTGTTGGGCGAACTGGTAGTGAATGTTCGTTGTGGCGAGGTCTCAGCGAAGTACCAACGAACCATCTCAGATTTGAGGCAGTAGCTAAAAGACCATAAGTTTGTTGTGCGAACTTGTAGTGTGGTAGTTCGCAGTGCGAAGAATTGCTCGCACAATAAACTTTAGATATTTTTCAAAGGTGGTTTAACTGTTCAAAGGCACTTCAGGTACCTAAAAGTGTGTTCGCTGGATGAAGAAATGGTTTGTAGTGCGAACATGACAAATTCCAAAAGTACTATATAATTACTTTTCACATTTTTCGGGGATATAACCCATTTTTCACACCAAAACTTCATTTCTCAACATTTCTTCACCAAAAGGTGATATTTTGCAAATAAAAGTTGGATTCGTATCCGTGTTCAATTCTTCGACGTGGATGCTCATTCATCTTCTTCCAAAACTTGTAAAGCAAGCTACCATGGTTATGGGTAGCTAATTTCTTTTGTATCAAAGGTAGAGGTAGTCTACCATTAGCTTGTATGTATTTCTTTTGATTGACCTTGTATGTGAACAAGTGATATTTAATATATGATGAATATTTTTGTTCTTAATGGCCCATTCTTATTTTGTAAAAATCTAGACATAGATTTTGTGAAACTTGACCTAAAATATTCATCTATCGGTTTATAGATTGGAGAAATCGGTCTATGGTCGATAGTTGCTTTGTGTTGAACTTAAAACTTACTATATTGGTTGTTATATGGAGAAATTGTGTAGCGATGAATATGGTATTTCTTATGACGCCGCTCTAGAGATAGACAGTGTTGAGAGAATGCGCAACGATATTAATCGAATTCGACTTCACATGAAAAATTGAAAGAATACGTATAAGTTAGGTTAGATGAAAATTACTTTTGATATACTTTGTTAATCAAACTCTTTAGAATTTATAAGCTTTGCTACTAAAAACGTGACAATTTTCAGAACAAAACTTTGAAAACTCTTTTTCTTGAAACAATAAACTGTTGAACGACAAACATCAAAATATCTGCAATCCCTGTGGAAACGATAACAAAAACCCCATTTAACCACGATTCGAACAAAATGGCACCGTTGTCGGGGATTGTTTGATATTGCAAGCATTGTAATAGTTTATTGATTTAAGAACTTTGTATTGTATTCTTACCTCTGTTATTTTTCTTGTGCTGCTTAATTTGTTTGGTGAAGTGTGAAGATTTTGTTTATGCGAGAGAGTGTACCTGCAGACCAACTTCTTTTCGATCCTGAGATTGAAAGAACTGTTCGTAGGCTCAATAGCAGAACTAGATGGAGACGACAACTTGATAAAGAAAGAAAATAGTGCGGAGAAGCTTCTTCGTCTACATACATTGTAACGTCAAACATGGCAGATCCACTACCACCACCCCATGTGTTAACAGTCTAAGACACAATGCTCAGTTTATGCATAACGCCGATAATGGAAGGCATTTTGAGATGAAAATGGGTATCCTTGCTCTTTTCAATCAAAATCCTTTTACTGGTATGGACTATGAGGATTCGTTCACATATCTCACCAAATTCTATGAAATTGCGGATGCAACGGGAGCGTCGAAAGCGGAAGTGGAATCCTTGTTTAAGAGATTATTTTTGCATTCCTTAATTAGGAAGGCGAATGAATGGTATCTTGATCAATTAACTCTAGTGATGACGAATTGGAATTTATTGGAAGAAAAGTTCCTTGAACTGTTTCCCCCCCACAATAGATTCATGGAAGCGAAGACGGTGATATTAGTGTTTGCTCAAGGTGTAAATTAATCTCTCAATGAAGCTTGAGAGAGGTTCAAATATATGTTACAAAAATGCAAAGGTCATAGTTTTGATGAATTAACTCAAGTGCACATCTTCCAAAATGGGCTCCAATCAGTTCACAAAACTTTGTTAGATGCTACTTCGGGTGGATCATTAATGTCCAAAAGCGCTGAAATGCAATTGCTATTATTGATAAGATGACACTCAATGATCACCAAGGAAATCACAACCCTGGCACACCTAAAAGAAAACCGAACATTATAGAGTTGGGAACGAATTATGGTATTCTTGCTCAAAACAAATTACTCTCGCAACAAGTGGAGTTGTTGACAAAGCAAATGTCAAAGCTTCCACAAGAAATCAAAGAGATGCAAGAAGGTCCTAACCAAAATCAACATGTAGCAAGTTATAAACTTTGCAAAGGTGATCGTCCTACCAGCTATTGTCCATCGGTCATTGAAGAAGTCAACTATGCGGGAAACCAAAATCAAGGCTTTCAACCAAGACCACCATATCGAAGCAGTAACCAAGGTTACCAACCGAAAGGTAATAGCCAAGGTTACCAACAAAGGTGGAGGCAAGAGCCGAGTTTTTCAAACCGTCAACCTTACCAAAATTACAACCAACCGCAACCAAACCAAGGATGAGGCTCTAAGATTAAGGAAACTTTCAACCAATTTATGCAAATGTCAATCTACAATAAAAAAAAGTACGAATGCGGCAATTCGAAATCTTGAGACTCAAGTTGGACAATTGTCCAAGCAACTAGCCGACCAACATAAATAAACCTTTCCGGCTAATACTCAAGTGAATTCGAAGGAGCATTGCAAGGTCATTTTTACAAGGAGTGGAAGAACAATCGGTGGGAGAGTCGAAAAAATGTTGAAATTGAAAAGGAGGATGAAATTGTGGAGGAAGTTGAAAAAAATAATGATAATAAGGTACTTGAAAAGAAGAATGTAGAAAAGAAGTTGAAAAAAAAGTGAAAAAGGAAAGGAGTGTGATGGAGAAGTTCCAATGAAAAAGTTACCGTACTCTGTTGCTCCTACGAAAAAAGAAAATGAAAAACATTATGTGAGATTCTTGGATATATTTAGTCGATTGCAAATAGTCATTCCATTCTCCGAGGCTCTAGATCAAATTCCTAAGTATGCCAAATTCATGAAGAACATACTTACAAAAAAAAATACACGAATAAGGAAACCATTAAGCTCAATGCTAATTGTAGTCCTATTGTCCAAAGCATTCTTCTGCGGAAAGAAGGAGATCCGGGAAGAGTAGTTCTACCTATAACTATAGATAGTGATTTCAAATGCAAAGCTTTGGTCGATATAAGAGCTAGTATTAATTTGATTCATTTATATGTGGTCAAAAGACTCGAGAATATGTGGTCAAAAGACTCTAGAAAAAGAAAAAGAAGGTTGCATCAAAGAAAAAGAAGGAAGAAAAATCCAATCTTGAAGAGGTGTTTAAGAAGAAGGATGAAGAGGCCAAGGAGGCTTTGATGAAGTCATATTGAAAATTTTATTTCTTAAGGAAAAGTGGACCAAAAACAGGCCATGGTAACAATTGAGGTCTTTGGTGGCAGAGTGTTCTTCTCGGAAGCTAATCCAAGCGCTTTTAGTTTTGAGGTTTCAAACCTCCAGATCTTCGAGCTCAAACGACATCAAACAAAGTGCTAGTTGGAAGGCACCCAAAAATTATAAGTACCCTTTAATTTTTTATGCTTTTGTAGAGTAATATAGTATGGAAAGTATTATGGTAGAATGAGATGAAAAGAAACAAAATTTTCAAAAATCTGTCTATTCGCCTTGAGTTCGCTAGGTGAACCTGGGGCGAATGTTCGCTGGAAGTTCAGTAGGCGAACTGAGCGAGACAGAGAAAAATAAAAGTTTTTTCTGCCACATCACTTAAGTGTTATTATGTGGTGGGCCTAAGCTGCGTGGGCCCAAGACCCTCTTTTCAGATTTTATGGGGTAAGCTTTTTCCATTCCCATTTGTCTCCTTCCATTTTCCTTCTTGTCTCTTTACTTTCCACAAACACATATATTAATTATTAAATATAATTATTTAGAATGTATTAATAATTTTATATATATATATATATATATATATATATATATATATATATATATATATATATATATATATATATAT